TCAAATTAGGAAAAACCCTCCACTTAATTCGTAGATCCACATTGCGATATTTAAATAATTATGTTAGTGAAAAGGGATTACTGGATGACTTAATTACACTTCTGTTTTGTTGCAAATAGAGTTTCAAATGCAGGACAAATCAGGAAATTAGGGGGATTTTTTGGGGTATTTATGGGATCATCAGAGTATCTTAGAAGATCAAGGATGGGTCAGACATCCGCTTGTCAACGAAGTGACTGAAAGGATAATCCCTTTTCGGGTTGACAACATGCAACCTCCCTGCCATATGCCTGTCTGTCATCTTTAACGAATGACTGTTTGGGGGATATGAACTAGCAATTCCACATGTGAGACCACTTACTGAAACGATATAAGACCCAAAACCATAAACAGACTTCAAATAAAAACAATACAAAGTTCACACAGTTTCACCTTTACATAAAAACACTAAAAACCAAAACAACAATTGATTAATAGAACACCGATCATACCATGTATATAGACTTATATATCAAACGTAGTCATGAAGTGGAGTTCGCCAGCTCCCTCTTCCATTTGCAGGGTTCACTGCAGTTCCAAGCATCTACGTTGCCCCTGTCTTCGGCACTGCGGTCCCAGAACTGATACCACTCCTGATTACCCTCACAGTCAATGCAGTCTTGAAAAAAATGTTCGTTTGCAGTAAACTTTTCAAGCAGAGGAGGAGTTTTGGTGCCAGACATTGTATACCGACCCAGTCGAATGCTTATTGAATCCCTGTAAGCTTGCAGTTTCTTCGTTTTGCTGAGATGGCACAAAAACTCCATCGCATTCTCCTTGCCCTCGCTAGGGTTCAACAGCCCTAGCAAGCCAACAAGGTAGGAGGCTTCCTTATGCCCTGCCATAGCCGCCACCCATAGGTTCTTCATGCCCTCATCATCTTTCAATAGGAAGAAGTCATGAATAGCTTCTCTGTAAATGATTTCTGGATTGTTATGTTCTTTGCACTTTTGCAAGAACTCAACAATTTTACCTTCCTCACTTGGGTACCAGTCCTGATGCCACTGGTACTTATCCACTGACACTATTGTCCAAACCTCAGGATCGTTGAGCATTTCTTTAAATAACTTGCAGGTTCTCGCCATGTTGTACAGATCTTCAGGGGACTGCTTTGCAACCACGAGCAGCACCTTAAACCATGCCAAATGTGGAATGTCCATCTTGGTTGTTGGGGAAGAGGGACTGAAAAGGGTCTGTGGAGAAGAGGACTAAAAAGGGTCTGTGGAGAAGATGACTGAAAAGGGTCTGTGGAGAAGAGGGACTGAAAAGGGTCTGTGGAGGTTTTAATAATCAAGGTGTCGTTTGGGGATGAAGAAGGAAGTGCCGCATATAAACCCAACCGGCGTGACCCACTTGACAATGGACAAAGACAAGGGTTTAGATCAGTAATTATTGTATTCGTTTCCCAAGCGGTGTGAGTGAAACGAAAATTGACAGTTATCGCTGAAGTTGGAGGGACTGAATTGGTTTCGCGCGCTCCCATATTGAGAGCATTTATGATACCACTTGTCACCGGCAGCAGTCACAAAATTATAAATGCTTTTCGTGATAATTATTATGCTAAAATCACATCACCACTTATGAAGCAAATGACTTAGTTACATTTGAACATGACCAAGTAATCAGTTTCATTTTGCCAACCTTGAAACTAAATATCAACGCACCATTAACAGTAAAGTAAATGATCACAGTGTATATGATACTAATAATGCAAAAATGACATCAAAGGGAGTGAAGGTAACTTGCATTTTAACATTAACAACTAAGAAGTTGCTTCTTGCCAAATATGGAACTAAATATGAAAGCGTATCACCAGTACAGAAAAAGAAAACTGTGTTTATGATACTGATAATGCAAAAATGACAGAACACGTTCTGAAGGTAACTTACATTTCAACCGCGCCGC